TTGTAGATCTCGTCGTCCTCTATAAGAAAGGTCCTATACAATTTTTCCGTAGATCTAACGGTTTAGGAGTAATTAAGGAAAAATGAAATTTTTTGCCAAAAGTTCGCCGTTTCGACGCTGGGATGGTCGGATTTTGTCAACATTAATAAAATGCCAAATAATCATACGTAACTCGTTAAATATCGAAGTTAGAAGGAAAACAACTTTTATTTGAAGCATTTTTCGCAATTTTTAGGGGAAAAAAAATTTTCATTTGTCCAGAATTTTTCCAAGGGGTATAGCCAATACATCCTTAAGGGACGTTGGTTCAGTTTTATTTCTTATTGCACGTATAACTTATTATATGGATTATACACAATATATGCATAATCATTCAATCATATTATTCAGTGAATCGTATATTGAACATATAAAACTGAAAGAATGTTTGGAATAGCAAGTTAATTGGTTTGGCAGACGCTCGGTCGATTAGCTGTATGTTTTTCAAAGATCTGCTATATTTATAGATGTTTACTTAGACTCACCTCGTAGAAGTAGAAGGAGTCGATCTCGTCCGTCGCGTTGACATCAAACAGCGTGCCGTTCGAGAGATCCGTCAGCCGGTAATCCTCTTCTGTGCGATTCCTTCGAACCGAGTTTTCCTCGTCCTCGTCGTTTATTAAAAACGTTTGATTACCGGCCACCGGCTCGACTTTTCTTCCCACGGACATGTCGTTTGCGGGTCTTCAACTCGCGATCCTCAAGTTTTTAGTCGACGCGAACAATTCATGGCTTAACTGAACTTCGGCTAAGCGTCCGACGATTTCATCTCTTGATCGATTTTTCACTGAGTTCTTGGCTACGAGCAGCTACGATTCTGCCACATGTCGATAGAATATCTGCACTAGAGTGGATTTTATGGATATCGATAAGATTTCGCTGGATTAAAAAGCTTCCTAACTTATTTAATTATTACAACAGAGTTTAGGACGATTAATGAACACTTTGCCGAGTCGCGGTAATCCGTTTTCTACTGTGCAAAATAATCCCTTTGTACAGCCTAATTGATAAGTGAAAGACAGTTAGTTCAAAGAGACATCATAATAAATTAAAATTTGTTGTACTTTATTAAATAGAATTTTTCTGATACTCTATAATGTTTCATTTAATATGATTGTTAGTAAGGAACATCTATTTGGATTTTTAATAACCAATAGTCACCGAAACTTGTTCGAGACACTAATTGGTACTATCGTTATCTGGAACGGGGATAGGAGTAGAAATCTCGTGGAGATCGTGAAAGAAATACGTAATGGGGGATCGTAAATCGTGTCGACGTGACCAGTTGCAAACGCGAATTCGTAAACCTGAGGATTTCGCGGAACCTGTTTCCGGCACAAGTAACGTTTTACGTGGGAGCACTTCGCTGTGCCATCCGACTTTTGCGAAAACGAAAAACGATGAAAACGGAATGGAGTGCAGAATAAAATGTCTTCATATGTCTTAGGCTTGGTCAAAGGGAAATATGAGCGTCCTACTCTTTCATACGCGATTGGAAATATTTTGCAATTAGAATTTTAATACAATCGTTTCATGTTCAATTTTAGTCATCGATATCAGAATATTTTTATTCCTTTGCGTGTTGCGTTTCAAGCGATAGTTCCGTGAGAAGAATAAACAGGTGCAGTCAACTTGTTGAATGGACCGTAGATTTTAAAATAGAACTTAGAATTTTCTTTCTTCGATTCAAATAACGCATGGATCCTTTATGATGGGATTAAACGTGCAATTTAATAAAGGGATCTACATTGGTTGGATATTGAGAAGTAATTGAACACTGCGGGCAAAAGAAGTATTCTTTCTTTCTTCTCGTGTTCCTGTATCAATTGCACATTCAGATTGCAAACAGACGCAAAACAGAATGTTAACTGTAAATTCACCGATGATAGTTTTTTGTTTTTTTATCTATTCAAAAACGCTGTCATTGTTTGGGAAGCTTTTGATGCCATCCAGTGAACACAGAATTTTGAGACCCTTACACGTCGCCTGTTCAGAATACAATTTTGCTCAAATATCATGTATGAAAGTATTACAAAAAATATCAACGTTTATGAATTAATTTTAAATGCTTTTCTTTATCGAGCTAGCATATGATCTTTCCCCTTTGAAGGCTTAAATGAACTGTTTTATAAAAGCATCTGATTAAGAAAATTGAATTAACCGTGAGAGCATGTCGAGGAAATGAATAATTGATGGAAGGATTGATGTCGAAGTTTACAAAAGACATTGAACCAATTTCGAATGTTTTTCATGCTTTAATTTTGCATCTAATGAACGAACTCATTTGATTAAAGGAACATTGAATGCACAATTAGAGACACGTTCGGAGTTAAAAGAAGTGTTGAATTATTCGTTTTCGTTTTGTTGTAAAAACAAGGATCGGGTTTAGAGAAAAACTGTCCATCGCCGAAACGTTGCAACGACAACGTGTCAGTAATTCATCCCGCAACAGGTTTTGTTCTTTCATTTCTCGGCTTGTCACCTGTCACTAAGAGAGAAGTGTTTGCGGCGTCACTTTTTCGCTCGCGGTTGCGTCAATGAAATATTGCAGAAAACAAGTATAGGAAAAGAATCTAGCCTCTAGAATCTGTTGGCTTCCGATTTAATCGAATTTAATCTCTGTCAGACGTCAATGTTAACTACCAAGTAAGCGGAAAAGCAACCCCCGAAGAGTTATCAAGAAAACCAATTGCACACGGTTTTTGATTGTAGGCTCCTCCTCCTTGCTTTAAAGAAAAAGCAAAATTGATTCTCGTTACTAAAATTAAAAAAGGGAATTCGAAGCCGAGGTGCGTTCACCTTCGATTCCTGGGTTTACGTTAAATGTTTGACTGTCGTTTTCGTTGAGTAAAAATCACAGAGTTTGAATGGTTTATCTTTGACGAGGGACGAGAATGTGTGATGGGAAACTGAGAAAACGGGGTGAGAATGAACGAGAACACACTTGATCGTAGGGCGCGTTGAACGCGACTGAGGCGGCGGACAAATTCGCGGCGACTCCACTCCAAGCTCATACTTACATCTTCGTAGAGCAGAACGATGCTGTGCACGCGTGTAGGAGTTTGCACGCATGCGCGTGAAGTGTCCTGCCGAATCCTATTGTTGCAATTCCAAAATGTTTCAATTATTTTGCTATTATGGTAAAGAATGCACATTCAGATTTAAGCTTGATTGAATTCCCACAAGAAAATAGAACAACAAAATTAGTTATGATATTTATATTAAACATAGTATTCAATAAAAATGTACAAATATAATACAGATTGCAATTAAAAATTGATTACAAATTAAAATATTATATATGTGAATAATTCTTTATACAGTAAAAAGACAATTGATTTCACAAATTTTATTTCATCCAGTACATACATAGTTCACGAATCATTTTAAAATAGACCTCAATAAAACATTCATCTAAAGATATCCAAAGAATATTTATACATGCTCAGTATCATAGATTGTAGAATGCTTTCAATAAGAGACATAAATTATCGATGACACGTACAATACAAAACATTCGTATACTTAAGTTGTAGCAGTCATCCATTTTTCTGATTGGAACTTGACGTTAGAGAACTCGCGTGTGCTCTACTCCCACGCTTCAACATCCATTTGTCAAGATTATCGATTGTCACCGCACCCAGAGGGAACGAAACGAAAATTTACGTAGGTGGGTAAACGGCACGTCACCAGTACATCTCTGTTGTCATACTCTCCGAATGCCTCGTTGTGAACAGAGATGTACAGAGACATGTATGTACAAAGTACTTGATGTAGGTATACAGTAAAAGTGATATGGATACAGTAAAAGGGAGTGGGAAACGACGATCTAGTCAGTTCAATCATCGTGATTGATGTTCGTCGATTAATGAGCACACATCTAGTTACTCGCTTTTCGATACACCCGTAACCGGGGTTCGTCATAATATTGGTTGGATTTCAAACGACGTTGACCGTTTTGGATGCATTCGAATTCGTCTAAACCGGAAGTTACCTGTATATGTTTCCGCATGCACCGCTGATAAAACAGTTAGACGTATTTCGATACTATTGAAATTCAGGCCGCATCGAGTTCAGAGGCGGCATTCCACGTTCCACGCGACAAAGAGACATTTTATTAACCGAATCGAGGGGACGCATTTTTCGTCGAGCTTTGACAAAAATCCGAAATGTACATCTTTTCTCCCCTGAACTGAGTTTCATCCGAACAGATGATTCTTGTTTTCAAAGCTTGAAAAGTGTCTGGACAGTTCCTGTATTATCTAATTTTAATATATTTCATTAAATATTTTACCAATCATAATAACAAATAATTATATACTCTCATTTATTTATCCTGTGTCTTAACGATCGCTTCCATTAGTCTTGGCTTTGGCATTCTGATCCGTATCAAAGTTCACGTAAATGTTCTTTTTCTCATTTTTGACACTAAATAAGGTGCAAACTAGAATGAGACGCAAACAGGGGGACATAGAATTTAAATAAATTACAATAATTAAATCAATTTGTTGCTACCAACACTACGCATATTATTATATCGGCACGTGGCGAAAAAGAAATGGCGAGATATTCTGAGCGGCAGTGTAAATTGCATTAAAGAAGTGGAAAATTGCATTCGTTTTTCCGGCGCGTACCCTTCAAACGCGGTAGAATAAAGTTTTCCGGCGACGCAAATTGAGACCGTTTGTTTCATTGTCAGGTAATTTACTCGTCGTGCTCATCCTTCTACGACCAGCAATAGACAGCGACGCCGCTATTCATATTGTCTCTGAATCCATGAGAGCAACCATTCTTCGGAAGAATTGCGTAATTCGGGAGATTGGAAGAGTATACCCAAACTCTTGCGACATGATGAAAGAAGCGTCTCGATTTCCTCCGACTATGTCAATCTATGCTTGAATAATGTCATTGGCGCTTACTCATTTGCATCAAGTAAATAAAAGTTGTTACAATATTCCGTAGAACAGTTGTTGTAATGTTTGATACAATCCTCGATATAATGATTAATTCAAGAATTCATACAAAAATTGATAAAAATATAATCCTTGTTGGGATAGTTGTAGTGATTGATGTATCGCGCTATCTACTGAGTGACATAACATTTAATACAATAATTGAGATAATAATAACTAATACAAGTATAGACAAGTATTATACATAAATACATGTAATTACATAAATTTATTAGAGAACAGTGCTAATTACATGCATACAGTATCATATCAGAACAGAATGCATTTTCTCAAGTTCTAGAGTAAAATTAATAAATAAAAGTTAGTTGTAATATTATAATGCAAATGGGTTAATCGAGCCTCTTGGCCATTACTTTCAAATCCTTCACTTTTATCCCACGGAAAATCGGCTTTCCGTTCTTGTCTACAATTTTATCATAATCTTGTTCTACCAGCGTTTCAAAACCGCATCTCTCAGCTAGTTTCTGTGAAATCGGGGAAGTGAACGCTGTACACGTCACTGGAATCTTGTATTCACGACCTATATTTGTCCTGTAACATTTTTTAATCTGAATTGAGTAACGAAGAAATTAATCAGTTAATACATTCGCGTGATTATTAATGCAAGATTTGAGAACCTGGCGTTGAGGAGATGGGCACCCAAGCTGGCTCCTCGATATTTTGGCTCTACGGAGAGACCAAACGCGTTCATGTAGTAATCTACTCCGTACTTTTCAAACACGTTCGCCTTTTTACTCAAATCCAATACGGCTTCCATTATATCTTTTGCCTTTTTCGACTGTGACAATTTATTCGATATCATTTAATTAGGAGAAATATAAATATTTATATTTAATATGTCTTAAATTATTTTTATGGACCTTTAAAATATTAGTATCGAATTTTTCATCCTTTGAAGTGATTGTCAGCATGTTGGCTGCTGCGAGTATCGGTTTGCCACCATTGGGATCGTCTATAAAAGCACCAACGGACAATCCTTCGTTTAAAAGATCCCTCCAAAGGATTCGAAAAGTGTCTACGAATTCGGGATCGTCTTTGCCATCTAAAATAATTGTAATATTCATTCATACGTTTACTACAATCGAAATATCTTCTCGAGTCTGCCAATATTGATGTTATTTGATAATTAAAGTTAGTTTAAAGTTCTGCTGATGATTGAAAAACAATTTGATGAAGTAGAAAATGGGAGCAAGAACATCAGGGTGGAAAGATTTTATTGCGAAAGCTAACGTAACTTTTATGACGGCCGCGGCCTTATTTTCTACTTTATTTGCTCCACATTTTTAAGTTTTAATAATCGTACTCGTAATAATCGAAGATAAATGTTTAACGTAATTTAAAAAGTGCGTAATTTAAAAATAACAAAACAATAAACGCTTATTTGATACATTCTGGTAGTGGTATGGGTGAATGTACATTGTATATATTTATCTTCATTTGCTGTGTCATTTCGTGAATGATAGTGTTTCACGTTCCATGAATGATAGTGTTTCACGTTCCATGAATGATAGTGGGGAACATTCAAGGTTTCTAAGCACGCCACTTCTTAAATTTTACTTGAAAATTAAAATAATTCTTATCGTTGATACAATGACTACAAAGATACATTCGAAAGATGAAATCTAGCTTAAATTTTCTTATTAAATCGGTCGGTACTCTATATATTTCTTTATAGATATTAAATCAGTTCAAAATTGATTGCTGATGTATTACATTTGAGAACTATATTTATTTTTGCAACGATCTAACAAAATAAGCAGAGAAAGCTAAAAACTTACTCATAAAATTGCACGTCGGCTCGTCGGCGATAAAATATTTGCACATGTGTTCGACCACTTCTTCGTACCTGTCCTCAGGTATCTCTTGAATAGAAAACTTCATTGTCTTGTCCTTTTTAATTTCTACCACGTTCCATATTTTTGGTGGCCCGGGTTTCTTTATCGGAAATGAAATTTGTGAACAGCTCTTCTCGGTTTTACTCATCCCGAATATTTGTCTGCTCTGATGTATCAGCAAGACTAAGCACTAATAAAAACAGTTAAACTGGGCGAGAAGCGGATCAGCTTTAACTGAAGGGGCACTTCACGCTATAAATGTTACTTTGTTGAATGCCTCCTAGGCAAGTGACTGCTGAATTGTGTAACGCGTAAATTGTCTGTTATCGTATACGCTGGTCATCATTTTCATGCAAGCATTGCATTATAGTTCTGCCTCGTAATATCAAGTGCATCAGAGATTATGAATATCTATTTTCCACTGATATGAGGATTATCTCTGAGATAAAGAAACAGTTTTTTTTATTGTACAAAAATACGCATGTGTGAAACACTCAAATGTAATAGATATTTCTAATCTAAACCCACTTGATTTTAAATCACAGAACAAATATAGTATAAAAAATATAAATATTTTTGTTATTTTATTGTAAGACACGTACGTGAAATACTCAAGTGAGAGATATTTCTAATACAAGTATGCTTCACTTGCAGTAATAAATCGTGTTTTTTTCGAAATGAGGCGCGACTGGGGAACAGAATATAATAATTAGGGCAAAATTTTGTGCGAATGATACTTTAGTATGCGTGCGTTGGCCGGTATTTCATAGTAAACCCGCTCCTACCCAAAGAAAAAACCGACAAATTATTTTCGTCAGCGGCGCTTGTAAAACGTGCACGTGGCATCGTTTAGAAGTCAACATGAATATGATACCGCGAATAGAATTAAGACAGCGTAAACGAGCGTTGTTACATCTACACGAAATGAATATTTCAGTATTGATCTTTACCCTTTGAAATTTCCGTTTTAAATCCCTTATCTATTACATACACTTTATTCGAAGTTTCGAATCCCTGTAAAAGCAACTTAAACGGTTCATTTTTAAAAAAAACTTTGGGTATTAAGGAAGACATAAGTATTATACAAAACCAGTATCTTTTTATTTATTTTTTATTTATTCTACATATGCTTGCAATACGTCTACTTTTCTATGAAATCTGTATTAAAATTGTAGTCGTCAGGCGCCGAGATACTGAATCCTTCGAATTGGCCAGCCAACTTGGTAGCTGCTTTTTCTATAAAATCCAGATAAGTATAAAAACAAATACAGTTTGAATTAAATAGATGGTCTTACCTCTTCTGGCTCGATTTTTCTTTTCTTTTTTAAACTGTAATTTATTAAGTTTATTCAACTTCTGATTGCCTTCGATTTCAAATATCGGATCGGCTTTCTTCTTCCTCGCTTCATTCGCATTCTTTTTCTTCTCCAGTTTCTTCTTTAATTTATCTTGTATCTTAATTTGCTGTAAAAATTAATTGCAATCAACATTTATATACATGCACGGTTTAAATAAATTACTTACTGCTTCTTTCTCTAACTGAACTGACATGGCAGAAACGACTGGTCCGGAACTCTCGATCAATAACGGATCGTTAGCTTTATTCTTCGCAGATTCTTCTTCGATATTGTCAAGTACCATCTTCTCCTGTTCGGCAAAATTGTTGTCAATGTCAAATTCCTTGCTTATTTGGCTTACGATTTCCGCTGACACATGACATTCCGGTTGTTCAGGGGGCACCGTGTAATATCTGATTTTTCCAGAGTTCCAATCTTCTAATATGCTACGTGCGGCTGCCGTCATATCCGGTATACCGCCTTTCCTAAATTTTCCCATTCGCTGGGCTTTCAAAGCAAAAAATTCGTCTGGCGTAGTAAAGTCTGGTATAGTATACATTTCCATTATCTGCGGTTTAGAAACCCTTTTTAGAATAGCGGTAGCTGGTGTGAAGGGATCTTTCAACGATTGAATTTTGATAGCATTCTTTAATGCTACTGACGATCCATCGGAGTTTTCTCCAGGATTTTCGAAGACTATTCCCGGAGAGTCCAATAATTTTATCTTGGAATCCAACTGCACCGCTTGCATGGCTTTTGTTACTCCTAAAAATAGAAAATTATATAAAGCAACAAATGTATAAGACACATAGAATTGCAAAGATTATAAATTAAATACCTGGAGTGCTTCCTACGTTACATGCTCTGCTCCGTTTCAAGGAATTAATAACACTAGATTTGCCAACGTTTGGAAGACCGACGACTCCCACTCTGATACTAGTTTTTACGTTTCCAACGTTTCTACAATAATTTGCGAGAAGAGATAAGAGTAATTCAGCACCGAAACAAGTCCCACTTTGTATCATATCTTCAGTCTTCTTTCCAAGTTTTCTTCTACCCAATCTTTTGGCTTGGTCTTGGGTAGAAGCTTTAAATGCTACAGCCGGTAAACTGCTCCTCAAGTATTTCAGCCACTGATTTAAATTCTCTCGAGGTACCAAATCTGCTTTATTTAAGACGATGACTAATCGCTTGTTCCCCCCAATATTTTTCACAGCTTCTTCTACCTGTAATTTATAGAAATCAGTTTACATTCGAGTAATTAAAATATTTCTCTTCATTATACCTGCTTGCATCTAGTTCCCAATGGATCTCTAGCATCCACAACTTCGAGAATGACATCGGCAGCATACAAGACTTTTTTGAATTCTTTGTAATAAGCTTTCAATGAATTCTCTTCCTTAACCAAAGCATCTTTTAATTTATCGTGTACTCTGTCTACTTCCATCTCTTGATGCTCTGCTTGTTTGGCCTCCGCGCTCAAAACTAATCCTTTTAGGCCTCCTTTTGCTAGCTCCTCTTGCTTCTTTGCACGTGCAGCTTCTTTTTGTTTTTGTTTTTCTTCTTCATTTTGTTTCTTCATAGCTTCCACTTCTTTAAGAATATCTTCCTTGAAAGGGCACTGATTGGGTACCTCGATTATTTTTGGCTTTTCTAAAACATTATGGAAGGAGTTAGCATGTTTTTATATAGTGTTAAATGTAGACACCAAGAATCTTTACTTTTACTATGTTTCTTAGCTTCCTTTCGAGCTTTCCGATTATGTTCCCGAACTTTTTTCTCAATTTTATATCTTTTTCGAGCTGGCATCCGCTTGCTAGGTTTCTCTGTAAACAAAATATTAAATACAAGATAAACGAAATAATTCGCAATGAAAATATGATATGAATTCTACGGATATCGAGCTTACTCATGCAAAACTTTGCCATTTTTCTTTATTGCTTTATTTTTGTTATTCAACAAAACACACTTCGAGTAGCACGTGTTCACAACAAACACTATGATCTGTGACAATAATGAGTGAGGTTGGAGTTCGAAACAGGTTGGGAAACATGAAAAAATGACAGATCGAAAGCTGGTCATGTGTAACTCGATGTCTCGATGTCAATCGAAGATAAATATCGAGACTATCGAGAATGCTGGAATTATAGTTTTGATTAATAAATGAACGGAAACAAATTTTGGAATTTTTATTTTACGATCCTTGACTAAAAAACAAAACCTAGGGATGGCTACTTAAAAATAGTGTTCGAGCTGAGGAGCGCATTGAAATATATTGTTTGTTTGAAATTTCGTTTAAAGTATCGATCATTATATTAATTTCAACAAGCGGAGAACTATAGTTCGCGAATTAAAACTCTTTTAAATTATCAATTCTGACTTATTGTCTGAATTGCTTGATCGGTGCTCTTATCAATATCAAAAAGAGCTTTATTCTTCTCTTAATTATCATTTTGAATTTCCTTTACCGATAAATAAAAACTTAACTCTAAGGGAAAGGTATAAGTTCGAGATTCATTTGAAATAGCGTATACAGAATAGAATCAATTTTATTGATAAATTACAATGAACATAATTTTCACGACATGTACATATACATATATTCGATCAGAGACTTGTTCTTAACAATAAATAAAATTAGTTTTGTGGCCGTCATCGTTACGTTGTTATATTGATCGTAGCTGCCACCAGGATGGATGTAGAAAACCCATTGACGCCAGATTTAGCGAAGGCGCTGAAATAAATAAACCAAAATTTAACATAGTATCTAATTCACTCGTACGTCTACATATGTATGTTTGTTAAAGATACAAATTGTAAATGTATTCAAATTCTTACCGGATGTGGTCTAGGTCCAGGAAGATGTATTGGCTTAGGATTAGGTCTAGGTTTACCGGGATCAGCTTCGCGGCGAAGACGCTGAAGAAAAAACACGCGTTAAATTTCATTATGATACATATGTACACTAATTGTTCGATATTTATTTTACCGGATGAGGTGGTCTTGGTGGAGGAACATAGACTGGACGACTAGGTTTACCGGGTTCAGCTTCTGGTTTGGCTTCCGGGTCGGCATCACGACGGAGTCGCTTTAAAAGAAAACAGAGTTACAGCTTTCCAAAAATATTTGTAATTTCAGTTTTGTTATAATCTAACCGCTCGTTGTTAAGCTTACCGGATGGGGTGGTCTCGGTGGAGGAATATAGATCGGTCGGTTGGGTTTAGCTGGGTCAGCTTCACGAGGAAGACGCTGGATAAAAAAAAAATAGTTTATCGTCAATTGATAAAAATAGTCACTATGTTTAACATAAATCCATTTAGTTGTACCAATAATTGATCTGAATCCTCGACCACTTCCCCAAATGCGGCTGCCACGAAAGCAGTGACCAAGATTGCAAACACGAAGCTCTTCATGTTTATCTAAATCGCGTAAAAATAGAGTATGAAACACATAATATCGCGATTACTTTGTGAAATAGGTACGTTTTTCTCAAATAATTATATTTTGACGTTTACTTACCACTTGCTACGGATCGGTTGAGGATGTAACAGACAATGATATCAGGTACACCGAGCTCCACTGTATTTATACGGACCGCGAGGTTGGGAGCATTAATGTTTGCTCGAAAGTTCAACACTCCAAGGTGCTTGGCCGGGAATCACCGTGACTGCACGCGGTGCACAGGCTTACGAGAAACAGATCTCTTTCCGTTAGTCTCATTTCTTTCTTGTCGCGAATCGAGGTCATATTAGGTCATATCATTTTTATCATTCTTTTTATTCTACGCCCGTCGATAATTACGATAATAATTATTAATATTTGTCTTTGTTCATTAAATTTCGTTATACTTTGTACAACAGTTCCATTGACTTCAAGTTTAATGACTAGATAAACGAAGTTCATCAGTATCTTTTTTAAAAAATGTTTTGAGATGAGGTCTCTAGTATTTAACAGAAAAATATATATGTTAAAAAAATAAATATTATTCTTAAGACTGCATATTATAAGATGCATTGCACTCTATACGGTGTGAAAGTACGCAAGGGGGACTGGCCGGGAATCACCGCGCATTGCGTGTGCTAACAGTGTCAAGAATAAATATGAATTTTCCTCATTCGTTTCCAAGAAGTTTGTCGTAAGTCGTAAGTGCGTAGACAGTTCATTCGCTTTTGTCAAATGATTATGCAAAAGTTCTTCGTATTTTTCAATTGCAAAAGTAATGTTTCCGCCCGGGATCGAACCGGGGACCTTCCGCGTGTTAGGCGGATGTGATAACCACTACACCACGGAAACTTCAGTGTGAACGACATTCCAATTAATTGATATCGTAATTTTCACTATTTCGATAAAATGCCTATAGAAATAAAATTATTTAGTGCTGTAACCCTACGGCCTGCAAAAAAGATACTAATATAAATCGATTAGGTTGTTATTGGTGGGAAAATAAATAGAAAGATATAGACATCCACAAACAACTTGTATTTTATACAAATTACAATAATTACAAAACGATCGAACGAGATTGTATTACATCTAATTATTTAGAAACAGGCTGCGTGTTAGCTTCGAGGGCTCGTTTCTCTTCGGATAACAACGAAACCTTTTCTTCGTATTTTTCTCGTAGATCTCGGAAAAGTGTGAGTTGCGTCTCGTACTCCTTCTTCAAATCGGCATTCAATTTTACCGCAGCATCCATTTTATTGATCATAGTGTTATATCGTTCTCGTTCCTCGTTGATTCGAACTTCCATGTCGTCAACCTCGGCCTATGCATACGTGTATTTTTGTATATCGTTAAGCATTCAAATTTACTTCTTTTTCTAAAGTTTTTTTTTATTGTCCGGTAATTGAAAAGAATTCAATGTTTGCAAAGAGCAAAGAAATGGTGATTTACCTGTAAGTGCTTTACTTCCATGTTACGGATTTGCAAAAGGCTCCTCGTGAGAGTTTCCACCTCCTTCAACGAAGCCACTTGACTATTTAAGGCGCTTATCTGTTTCTCCTGATTAGAAACGGTACGAATTCGATCTTCCAGTTGCAAGGATGTCTGAATCAGCTTATCCTTTAATTGATCCACCATACGGCGAAGCATCACCTCGTTACCTTCTCCCTTTAGTAGAGCATCGTACGAGACTTGCAATTCGTTCAATTTTTGCTCCATTATCTCGAACTTCTTCTGATAACAGTCTCGTTCGTCGCATGTTCTCTGCAAAAACGGGGACAATAAACTTACCTTTTATTTATCAAAATACACTGTGAGGTATTTATACACATACGTATATGTAGATTTAATCTTACCTGAACTTCTTCCTTCAGTTTCGATATCGTAAATTCAACATCGGTCGCGGCTTTGTCATTTTCTGCGAATGCTTTCTCGCTTTCTGGCCGGATCTGCTCGATCGCCGAAGTAACTGTGATTTGTTCCTCGGATTTTTGAGCGGCGGCAACGTTTCCGTCTCGTCTTGTTACGAAGCAAGTATCTCCCGCGCCTATAGCTGCTTGTCCCTCGATTTCCGAAATACTCGGCTAAAAAGAAAATAGATAGCTACCGTAATCTCGTAAAAATATCATGTCTATAATTCGTCATTCGCAACAACTTACGTATCGATCGTTTTGTTTCGGTTCGGAGGCTGCTTCGTTATCCTCTGCTTTTATTTTCTCCGTAGATTCGTTTACGGTTTCATCGATACTTTTTGTAACTTCTGCGACGACGGTCGAATTCCTTTCTCTACTAGATATTTCGATCGCTTCGCTTTCCGTTCGTATCGGAAGGTTGCACTCGGTGTTTTGCATCGGTACATCCTGATTTTCGACCGAGGCGGCTGAATTTTCGATATCGGTCGCAGCCGTGTTTTTCGCGTTATCTAACTGATCGAGCTTCGTAGTTTCAAGCAGATGGGAGCTTGGCTCAGCGATGGATTCAAGCGCTTGGTTGTCTGACATTTTTATCTGCAAGAAACGTCACTTTTACACGCGGAACAATAGAAAAACGGATCTGCTTCTTAGATATTTTCACTTTGCCCATTTTTATCCTAATCCTAGCTGACTGAACGATTAGGTGTTAGTATCGGTAATTGTCGAGCACAAAATAACTTCACGTTTCGCCGATCGTTTTAATGGCGAGGAAATTTTCCATTTAAACGTTACATATCTTTTCAATTGTTAGATTTAATATCGATGTCTGGGGCGTACAAGTCTAGCTCGCGAGCTTTAATGTATTAACAAATTTCAAATTACCGGAGACTAGAAAAATGAAATGTACGTCGTAAGACGATATTTCTTTTCCGTACGATATTTCCAGTCGCACGAAACGACTGGACATCGAGAACTAACGAAAAGTTTCATGTATTTTTGGATCCTCGGTTCAGTCTATTTTAAACTGCCGTAATTGTGCGCCAGTCTAGCCAGCGTTCGACGAACTGCTGCTGCTGTTGCTTGTCGTATCGCATTTAATCAACTAACTATAAAACTTAACATATGTGGTAGAAAATAAGAACTGTCTTTGATCGTCCGATCGCTATCGATTCGTAAGATTATTCGTTTATAATTAGACCTAGTAAACGATAGCTCACATTCCTTTTATAGTTCGATTTGAAACTTACCTATCAGAATTGATCCATTGCGTCATTACGATACGCAAGAGCGCAAGAGTATTATAAAATCGATCGTGTAACATGTTAAGATAAAATGATCGGGCGTATAAAATAATTTAATTTATGTAGAAAAATGATTTGTGTAATAATACTGTGTTATCCGTGATACGCTCTGTTATATAATCATACGAAATGTTCATTCGTACGATGATTTATTAACGTAGTCACGGTCACGTTGTCCAACCATCGTCCTTGCCGTGCTTGGGGCTTCGAGTATCTTCCTCCTCGACAGGGAAATTGTTTTATAAGAATTTTATGGTAAATACGAAAAAGAATTTTATTTGTTTAACGAGAACGAGGCTCTGTGTGTAATTGTTACGGTATTTCGGTAAATGGTAATAAAACGTGCATGAGAACCAGCGACATAACCACGATTCAAGCATATATTAGCTTTCCTATATCTTCTTTTATGGTCCATATACGTGTATATAATCGTGTTATTTTTACATAACCGTTTTTTAGAACCAAAATATATCTGAAGACAGAGTTAGCAAATTGTTACTATCAGTATAACGTTAGAAAGAGTCGATGTTAAAGGTTACTATTAAAGAATCTTCATGTTAAGATGATGGTTACACGGGCTAGAACATTCATTTGTGAGAGAAGAGTGAACAAATTCTGATATGAAATATAGGTTTCACGAACCAAACAATCCTCTTATTACTATTACAGTAGCATTTGTTTATAACGTAACATTTACCTGAGCTCTCATTACAAGCGAATGCTTTGGCCTGTGTTCACCATTATATCTATGCAGAGTACTTTTACCAATTCTTAATTATTTTTTGTTTCTTTTTATTAAGATATCGTACATTTTGTGATTCATAAAAGGAAACTTCAATTAATACCTAGCATGTGTTTCAGAATATCAATTAAGGAATGGAAGAATACACAAGAGAACCATGCCCTTGGCGTATAGTAGACGATTGCGGAGGTGCGTTTACTATGGGTGGTATAGGAGGAGCGGTATTTCAAAGTATCAAGGGTTTCCGCAACGCGCCCAGTGGAATAAACAAAAGACTTCAAGGCAGTCTTATGGCTGTTAAGCAAAGATCCCCCATCATTGCTGGAAACTTTGCAATATGGGGTGGTACGTTCTCCACTATAGATTGCGCATTGGTTCACCTTAGGAAAAAGGAAGATCCATGGAATACTATTATCAGTGGAGCAGCTACTGGTGGAATATTAGCAGCAAGAAATGGTTTACCAGCAATGGCTGGTAGTGCGCTTATCGGAGGACTATTGTTAGCAATGATAGAAGGTGTAGGAATATTTATGACGCGTTTTTCTGCGGATCAGTTCAGACCGCCACCATTCATCGAAGATTCGGGCCACGTGAGACAAGGACAGGGCAATCCATCGTAAAACGTATAAATACTTAGATACTTATTTCGAGTTACACGCTGCTAATCCAGTACAAAATGTTTCGTACAGTTCGAAACTACAGTAGTTGGAAACTACAGATCATACTTGTATAGACGATACGATTCCTCCACTTAAGAAATAATAATAATAGTTTGATTTGTATTCAATGCTGTTTATTCTATCTTTATTGTCGATAAAATAACAGTTAATATGAACACAGTATCATTTAAGAAAAAGAAATAAGTTAGTAGAGAATAAATCGATCACACAGTTTCATTATTTATAGACCGATAATCATCAGAATAATCGTCAAGTGTTCTCAAATTAAAAAATTTCCTTTTTCTAATCTTCGTCTTCATCTTCCATTTCTTCTTGAAACACATACGTAGACGGTACAGACAAGTCCAATGTTTTAATTATAGATGCTTCTTGACTATTGCTAGTCGATTCATGAAGAGGGGATTCTCCCTTTTTCAATAATTTATTGATTAAGCCCAGTAAATGAAGCTGTTCTACCTGTGTAAAGTAAGTCCGTTTTTTAAAGGCAAATTAATTGTACATTGGATAAAAATACATACATATAAGACATACCTGTAGTTCATGTATTCGAGCATCGATCTTTGCCAACATTTTTTTAATAAGTTCCTTTTCCTCTTTCAATTCCCCTTGGAAAGCGAGCAATTCGTTAGCGCTTGTTTTTATATTTGAATTTTCTAAAACGCAGTCATCTATTCTTGCCATTTCCTTCGATTTTCACTAACTACTTTCATAATACATAAATACATTTGTTCCACGCGAAAGTAAATTATACTACGAAATTATATATTCTTTCGCTTTTAAAATTAATTTTCGATTTTCTGACTGATCATTTGTTTTTCGTTATTCGGCAAATCGTAAGTGCGGTTATACTTTAGAAGCATAGCGCATACTAACGATACTAACCCTACTAATAATAACGATAATAACTCTATGAGCGCACAGCCGCACAGGCTGTGCGGCACAACAGCGTCAATCGTTGCTGCATTCAGACTACAGTGCGCGCTATTTGCTTTACTTTTCTAAGGTTGACCAACCTGAGCTTCGACTTACTTTCGTGTGTGTGATGGCGGGATCGTGTCAGGAGAAAGTGTCAAGATATTTCGTGTCGGGAAACTGATTTTAATCCTTCAAATGCGAGGTAATTAACTCGTTTTATTTTGGGGTTGGATGCGGAAGGTTCCTTAAGTTATATTTCGTAGAATATCTAATTCTCGATGCGTATAACGCTACGGAATAATCACATTTTATTACATCTGAATTCGTTTAGGTACAGAAGTTCTGAGTAGATCAGGACATAATCTATACTTAATTATACGATTACATTAGTTCGTTAATTTTCGAGTTGTCAAATTAAGTTAAATAGAATCAACGCGAATCTTGCTGCCTCCACTTTTGTGTTCGTTACACGAGCTCATTTTCCTCTGCATCTACGTTTGTATCGTCAGTCCCATGACACCTACGCAGCAATCCTATTCATTTCGTTATATTCTTTTTAATACTTTGGTAACATATCGGTATACATACTTACAATGACGCGCGTTACTCGGAGGACAAGATTTGCATTAAATTTTATGTACATATACATACAGAAAGTTCAGATTGGGAGCACAACTACTGTTATCATGCTATCATTGCGTGTTACGTATGATTAATTTTAATGCTTACACCGGTACGCACACGCGCGTATGTACTAATACTTTATTAGACTCACAACTTTGCGTAACGCGATTCGTACACGTCCAATAACTGTCTCGAAAATGAAAAATGTACTAGACGCCGCGACGGCGAAATAATGATAACATTAAACAATAATTGTCCTCGCCAAAAAGAGGATCGATCTCTAGATGCGATCAACAGGCATCGAAAGTAGTATTTTCGCAATTTTTTACATAATAGGCTGACAATCGATCAGTGATACTTATAATTATATCTACGTACCTATACGATAAATGCGTCATAGGTACATCGTTACGCCGTTTACGCAAACTGAGGTATCTGATAAACTTTCGGGAGCGATTCCTGGAATCAATTTCGCGGATCGATTCTATGTTCTCATTGCCCGTAGAGCATTGGCAAATCGAAGAAAAATAAATAGTTGGTACAGTCGGCATACCTACACGCGCCGTCTCGCGTCGTTCCTTTCTATTCTACGTATATTCGATTATTGTTGATAATTTGCGAGATCGTACAATGATCTCGATTAAATGTACACGTCTTCGAAGTGCGTATCGTTATCGTTCGCGCTGCAGCAAAGGAATCAATCGATTATTGTAAGTTGGGGCCACGCGATTCGTACGGGACCCGGGTTTCCGACGATCAGTTCGATTTTCACCAATCGTCGACGAGTCGGATGCCGTAGTCGCGTTCGTTGCTGCAGCAAGCAACGCGTCAATCTTTCATGGACGAGGGCGGTGATTCTCGACTATTGTCGCTGGTGAAACTCGACAACGCGAGACCGCTGGTTTCATGGCTCGAGGAACTAGTCGGCGAGTTGCTGGAACTCCTGGCACCGCCGAGCGATGTCACGTTCGCGTTTTCCGCCGGTATCAGGCCCTCTTTCATCCTCTTCTTCTGTTTCATTCTCCTGTTCTGGAACCAAATTTTCACTTGAGTCTCGTTCAGCTGTAACGCCGACGCGATCTCGATCCGTCTCGCTCTGGTCAGGTACTTGTTGAAGTGAAATTCTTTCTCGAGCTCCGTCAGTTGCTTGTTCGTAAAATTGGTACGGCCGGTGTTGTTGAAACTGCCTGCGATTCCCACCAAGGGCCCGCCGCCGCCGGTAAGACAACTTACGGGCCCGTTCGCCGTTGTCGCGTACGGGGATCCGTTTCCACCTACGATCGTACTTCCTCCGTATTCTCCCACCGTAGGATTCGTCTTTGCTGCTGCAACAGATTTCAATATTTCATTCTTTAATTGTTCAAATCTAATCTGCTCTTCGTGTTCCGCGAGTTTACGTAGAACGAAGATACGTGTACGAAATCGATCGAATTTTAGTAAATGTATACCGATATTTGTACTATTTAAGGGGAGCGCGTATTTGACACGAGAGTTATCTCTCCCGTTCTCAATTACAGACGTCAATGCCCGTCGTGGTACGTGTCCGACGCGTCCACGAAAGAATTAAGCTTAATTTTCGTCCACCGACCGACAGCCGTTTATTGTTGTCCGACACAGCTGGTCAGTGTCCTAAGGAGCGAACCTGTCCACCCTCTCACCGGAGACCGGAGATAGGGTTAAGCCCTAAATCTGGATCAAATTGCATCAGCTGTTGCCGAACGTCAACGGTAAGTCGTTACGTCATTTTATTTAACCCTTATTTATCCACGACCGGAATGGTCGCTCGGAAAACTCGAGCCGCTGTTTCTGGTTTGGACCTTTCCGCTTTTAACCATTCGATGGCCATCGAGGAAAGTACAAAAGTACAAATATACAAAAAGCATCAAACATTCGTATAAATGCTTACATAAGATACATACATTTCTTTCAAGCTGTTGTTTCTTTTGAAATATGTATACGCCCACCAGAGTTATGCAGATTGTTCCTATAAGTATACCAACCGAAAATGATAACCGACAATGGTTAATGCTATTAGTCAAGCGGAAGTAGATACAGTTTTGTAATTAAGATGACGAGTTAAAAGTTAAATATTTCGAATTCGTCGAGTGGTCGTACTCGTATCGAATCGATAAGCGCAACTACGATCTGGTATATACATTTATCATCGAGATCCGTGATCAAAGTATCATCGAGTTTCATTGAATTCCGCATAGTTTTTGAAACGCAAGTGCGAGGGTTCGAAGTACCTAGCTCTGAGATAAAAGACAGACCGGATGAGAGAAAGAAAGTGACCTCGCTTACGCATTATGGAAATTAGATCGTTGTTAACTATACCGGTATGTAGAAGTCAATTTACTTAATGGCGGAGGGTCGACAAAACTGTCAGGCCACCGCCTTAGAGACACATTTTCTTTTTCGCGTCGCGTCGCTTCGCCTTACTCTAGCCGTCTTTCTTTTTCTGTACTTTAATGCCCGTGCAATCGGCACGAAACCAAGATCAATGCTCGATTTCTTCTCGTGCCAAAAAACATCCGTCATTTAGAACTTAAACGACGGTGCTCGGAAGTTGGCCCGTGGCCATTAAGCTCGCGCGTCTTCTGCTCGAATAATCGAGTTGGACAAGTTTTATTAGCTCGCGGGTACGATGAAAATGCTTTCCGTTTTCGCGACTCATTCATCAATTTAGCACCTCGACGGTAGGACGATGCGCGGCTAACTACCTGGCTTTGTATACGTGTACACGGTCATCGTCGCAACATACGTAAAGTAGCTAGTGATACGCTGTGAACATTCTCTATAGTAGAAATAAAAGAAAAGGCCGTATCAAGCCGCTCGTAAAGGTACAAATAAATCTCGCCGCAGAAATACGCGTTAATTTGCAAACTAGAATCGCGGAATCTTGTTTTACACGTCAACGTTCGGTCGACGTATGAAATACGTAGGTACCTACACAGTTGTCCACTTGTACGCGCGATTGGGCTTCGTCGCATCAGGTTTCGTTTTTCGGGAGAGCGAATTCTGAAGAAGCAATGGGCGATAATATAAACGTACAGTTTAAGGTAAACGATCGGTCGGTCGGAACGAGCGAATCACTTTCGATTAAGCGCAACTGTTGTTAATTAGAATTTCCTTCACGAACGAGTGTTAAAAACGACGATTAAAATTACTAGTGGCGTTTAGCGATGGAAATCTGCGTTGCTTTCGTGAGTAGCGGCCAATAACGATTGCCCGCGCGGATATGATACAATCGACTTTTTTCGATGAAGAGGTACGCTTTCGTCAAAGATGATTATTCATTGTGGAAATACGCGAATTTACATTTGCAAAGAAACTCGGCGTAATTGTTGCGTGTACCGCCGCGGCAACGAGCGTTCCGATTCGGTTAACGCGATAAAAAGGGCTTTTAAGATTTCGATAGGCGCAACGATCACTGGTGAGTCATTAGGCTCGGCAAATAGTATACTAAACCGTCTTTCAATAAGTGTTCGCTTCTCGGGCAAAATTCAACGCGTATTTTCTCGAAGCAAACCGCTTGGTCGAAACAGACGGTTCTAGGTGAAAATGACACGAATGAAGAATCGTTAGGCGCGTGCAGATTCGTATATGTACTAGTCGACACTCGAACGAGTGCGCTTAAGCTCGACAAACTTTACACGCGAACGCGGATCCGAAACTAATACACGTGTACGCGTGAAACGCACAGGTAAGCGCGTGGCTGCGGTTTCGGGGCATGCACGCCAGTCAGGCTTCGTTCAAAGGTTCCCCGATTAAATCTCACCTGGCTCAATATTATTATTTTACGTGGCGCCTGCGAGTGAAAACGAGGCGGCCGACGGAGTGAGGAAATTAGAAAAGGTAAGGAGGGATAATGCCGACGGATAAAAAGCGAATGGAGTAGCGCGGGAAAAGCCGGTCGAACGTGTGTGCGTGCGTTCGTACCTATTACATCGTATGTGTAAGTACTTACACGCGAACGATCTCTCGCATCGTCGATGGAACGGTAATTCTAGTTATTTAAGCCTCGGACGCGGCGACGTCTCGACTATGTATTCGCGAGTTGGCAATTTTGATCGCGGCTACCGAAGTCCAGTCTCGAGAACTGTAATTGAAAACGACGCCCGAAGTGGCCGAGGAATCGTACGAACTCGACGGTTTATTATCTTTTTGCACACCCATTCTACGTTTATGACAGTCGAGAGAGCAATATACAAGTATTTTCTGTATTTTTTCACCACCGTCGTGTGGTACGCGAGCACGGATCCGTCTCAACGTGCTTCGCGAGTTATCTCTTCTCGCTTCGACGGTCGAGCGAAGAACCAAGTCGAAAGTAAAACGGGAGAGGAGACATAAATCGAGATCAAGTCTTGCGAAAACGTTAAGGCTCGCCATCCGGTCTAGAATGTCTCGAGTTCCTTCTCCCGATCCGGTTTTCCGAGGATGCGCTTATTAATAGGGCAATTACAGTTTATGAATTCACGAGAAAATGATTGCAACCGTAATACGCGTTTGCCGGGACTCGTTCGACCTCGTACTCGATGTAAGTACGTGTAATCTCGCGCGGTTCCATGAACAGGTTCACATAATTAAATTACCTAATCGATTGAAATAGAACGAACATGAATCGTAGCCCTTAAAACGATTATTGAAACTCGTACAATTATCGTAACTAAATTAACAACGTGGTTCTCTCTCTAATTAAATTGAAATTCTACGAGATAACGCGATCGGCAATTTGGTAGTCACTTAGATAAAATCGTAAGACGCCGCCTGATCGCTCTGGATCGTCCGGTCTTGCGGCTTGGAGCGAGACCCCCCTTTTAGACAGGGCATTACGCAATTCAAATATTATTCAAAGGCTAAAAGCCAAGAGGGGAGAAGGACAGGGTGCAGGGCGCAGATGACGTAAAAGGGAACCAGAGGGGATGGCGTGCGAGCAGCTACGGTGGTATTACGTTACCGGAAAGATGGACTTCGATAGGGGTACCAATTTCCTTCCTCCTCGGATTTTCCTCCTTGTCAACGGCCTTGTTCCTCTACGGATTGAAAATCGCGTAACTTGTCGCCGCGCCATCGCGATTTTTGATACGATCGTCTGTCGTCCCGAGGTTGTGCAATCGTCCAGAAGTTTTACGTATCGAATAAGTACCTATCGCCCGCGAAACTATCTCGAGCCGTTCAAACGGGATACTACCCTAGAGCCCAAAAAAGGATCCAGCTGTATTTGCGATCTATCCGATTTCCAAGTCCGATTACACGCTACGACGCCACTGTGAGTTTTGTTCTCGGATCAATATTTGATCCGTATCTTTCAACGATTAAATCCGCCTTTAACTTTTGGACTACTTCGTATTGAAATACATATGCGCCGAACCATCGGTAACTCGAACAACCCTTCACGTTAACGGGACAATACCTACGCATCGTCACGTTTCCAAGACGGAGCATCTCGTTGTCGTTTAATGTCCCGTAATAACGCGCCTAATTTACAACTCTTAAAATCTTGCATCGAAGCTCGCAGCCCGGGTGCGTGTGGGATCTCATAAAAAGGTCTCGTTCGTTTTTTCGGAAGTGATCCGCGGAATTATGCCGCTTCGCAATAAATAATATGCCAATAAATAATATCGACTACGTTCCGCGAAATGATCGGCCAGTACGACGAGGGGTTTATCGAGTCTTTTAACGAGCCTTATTCATTGTTGCTAGATAAGTATCAACGACAATGCGATTTTACTGTTTTTCTTTCTTTCGGAGATGAACAGAAGGTATGCGTAGTTACGCGTGTTACCGTCACGCACTTGACCGTGCAAACATTTTCTCACGATTGTACGATGGAGCGATAACAAAACTCGTGCCGCCGTTTTAAATGGAAGATAACGTTCTAGGCACAGACCTTTTTCTCTTCGCAGTTTCGGTTCTGTCGATCGTTTCTACATAGTTGGATATTTAATAGCGCGATCAGTCGCGACTATAGACATAAGAAAACAGTCCGAGAGGGAACTTAAGAATAAATAATTCCTATCGTTTGATTCGATCTACGTATCGGAGTAGGCATCGTTCGATCGACGTCGACGCGTATAAAAAGCGATTAAACGATTTTACTGACACAATTTTTCCATGTTCGACTCTTATTGTTAGTCGTCTACGATGTATGGCGATTGCCATTTTGATTTCAACGTCGCGATAGTCGATGTCGCGAGTCACGTCGTCGTTGAGTAAACGAGATTGCGACGAACGTTCAAAGAACTTCGCGTTCGTTAGGGATCGCCGATCTGTCCATTTAAATATACATAGAACAATCCTTTCGCTTTCTTTCACCTTGAAA